TGTTTCTTAAACGCCCCGGCGCAGAACTTTTTATTCCGTGCCGCCGGTTTGTCCAGCGTTCGAGCGAGGTAGCGCGTTTGTATACAATGTTTCAGGGGTGTGACTCGCGGCGCGGTGTACGCCACGGTGGAAACTTAGTCTGTACATTGATGAAATATTCATTACATTTACGCTTCGCGGTTCCGCAGACTTTTTTTTGTCGTGACTGTAGGTACTCGGGTATTTCTACGTATGATGAAAGTGTTAATTTTATGTATCAACACTTAATGTAATTACCTTAGAGATGTGGCTGGAATTTGAATTCATTGCATATCCCACGTCCGGACTATCTGTTTCCTCCTGCAAAAATAAGTGATTACAGCTTAAAGTACAAAAAAAAAAAGTTGTGAATCTTTCAGGGTTCCAGGGCGTTTATATACCCGATGAATTTTTAAAGCTGTAAATAAATAATAAAAAAATGTTCGGTTTCAGGTGTGCATCGATTAATATTAAATCTTTTCCTTGGTTTACTATTATGCTAGAAGGGCATCGAGATGTTTGAGGTGTTGAGGTGGGGCACGATCCAAAAAAGATTGGTAAACACTGATCTAGACATAATTTCAAATATCCTACTATGTCACGCCCGAAAACTAGCTACTCTAACTACCCTGACCCAAGTCCAACGAACGTGAGGCCTACCGAAAATACACGGTCCCCATAATAGCGTCGCATTTGTGTCTACAGCGAACGCGTCAGGTGTGCCTATAAACGGCAGCCGCTCACGAAATAAACGAGAGTCCATGGAAACCTTGAATGTCTCCCACAGCTGGCTGTTCGTATATGCACGCGTAGAGAGCATGATTTGCAGCACCGCCAGTAGCCGCGTTATTAGACGGAGGTCTGGGGCCGGTGCGCCGTTTCTAGACCACGTCCCATTGCTCCTTACATACATACATTATCGGTCGCTTCTTCCACCTTTACGCCATTCTCGGTGAAGCTATCCCGAACGAACTCATCGTGTGTATCACGATGCAACGCATCCGTTCTTTCGATTCCGAGACGCACGAATATCCCAGGTTACCGGGACGGAATGAATGGGTCTCGAAACGAAGATCGTATGAATCGCGGTACGCGAAATTCTCGACAACGAACGAGATTCGTGGGGGGACAGAACTACGCGACAGAGCCTCTCGAGCGCGCAGGCTGCGTCTCCGTCCGGTTGAGCGGAAAGAGCTCCGGCGACGTGATGCAACCAGGCGCGTATTTATGGTAATTTTATTTGCAGGAGTCTCGTCGATTTATCTTGACAATATCCCCGGCTCTCGTGATTCCGAGGTAAGAGAGAAAGAAATACGACTGGGCCTGGAAACGACGAGGAAAGCCTGGTTTATGCTCACTGTCTGGCTCACGACAGGGAGTGGGAGGAGGAACACGCACACAACGCAGCATAAATAACGTGTGTACACACAGAGGAGGCACGGAGTTACGGTACGGCTTACGTGTAAAACGGACAGAGTGAGACGGGGAGCACGAGCTCAGCGGGACAAGGCACGAAGCACGGGTTGTAGCGCTAGAAGGACAAAGACGAAAGAGGATGTAGTCGGCGGACATTTACGAAGAGAGCCGAGTCTCCCCGACATGTGGGAGAGCCCATAGTACACACCAGAGAGAGAAAGAGAGAGGGATATATCGGTTTTACGACGTTCGATCACCTGAACGAAGATTTTTCAAGTGCCGCGCGGCGTGGGGCGGCGGGGAGTCGGAACGCGAATGCGACCCATCGTCATTGGCCTCCGCTATCCTTCAATGAATAAAACTGTCCTCTATCCAGGCGTTTGGCAGTCCCGCTTGAAATTTCACAAACGCGCTTCCGCTGGACCGTTCCCATTGCTTTTGCAATGTGCACTGTAAATATTCCCGAGTTACGGTTAGGTCATAGAAAAATTGATTTCGTAACGATGCATTTGTGTCAGTTCCACGGAAACATTCTAGGGGAATATACAGTTCCACGCGCTCGAGTTCATAATCTTGCTGGGAATACCGAGGTTGCGAATGATATACTATTTCGCGTGTAAAATTATAACGATGTATTGCGAAACGTTTCTACGGTAGTACACCAGAAGAAGTAGGACTCGTTGTTAACGGGTACAGGTGTGCTTGTAATTTCGGAAATTCCTTCGTTCGACATACACGCCAGCAAAACTTGAAAGCGAGATAGACTTGCGGATCTGACGTGTTTACAATTGGTTGTGGATACAACGACTCGTTCAACTGCAGGAAAATGAATACTGTCATCCGATAGTCTTTCCGTAGGATTTAAACATCGTAGACAGACGACAAATCATCACAGCAGTATCGAATATTCGCAAAATATGATTGTATGCCGTAAACCTTAAATTTATGTACATACGATATTACAGGGATTTATCCGCTTAATAACGATGATAATAATTGGAAAAGAGAAAATTTTGCGTGGGTGCCGTGGAGCGCGCGCGTGTTCAGAGGAAAGTTGATGAAAGGCGCGTGGGGCCCGAACGAACAGAAGCAGCCCTGGTCGCACAATACGAGCATGAATGAAGTATCGCGTCTGGCTCGCTGGGTACGGTATACGGCTGCGAAGCATGAAGGGGTCCGGGGGGTCTACGGCCAATGGAGCGCGGGTTACAGGGGGGAGGGATCGCAGGCGTCACGGTGCTTTCGTGGCGGTGAAGTCGCAGCGTTGCGTGTGTGTGCACGCGCGCGGGTTACGTGCGACAAGCGTGTTAGTGAACGAGCGCATATGCAACTTTCAGTGTAGAGTACGAGGGCGCATGCGCGTGGCGCGCACCCCACCCACGGAACGACAGGCCGCTGCTCCGCGCTGTTTGTAACGAGCAGAGAGTCTAGAACGCCACACAGCAGCGTCGAGCGGCAGCCGGTCTCGGCTCGAAACGAGACACAAACAGTTTCCGCTGCGAGAACGAACGGTACACGGTGTTTCGTTGAAAGAAACCACCGGACGTGTTACGAATAGACGAAAGGAAAGAAGAATCCGCGTGTGCGCGTCGCGTTGTTAACAGTTTCCTCTCTGTCGTCGGTCGTGTCGACACCACCGCAAGACGAACGCAAATACTCCGTTCCGCGGTGAACTTGCCGCGTGAAAATTGAAAAGTACTCTCGCTCGACGGTTTATCCGACGTAGGAAACACGTCCGTTCGATTTCTGCGAGATATTCCGCGGTGTCGAGTAACGTGTACTCGAGGAGACGAGTCGGACGTGCGGCTGCAACCGACAGTGACAAGGAACCGGGGGAACCAATGGATACGACGATCCGATACCGCTCCGACCGTCGACCGGCACGGGAACACGGACGACCGTGAAGAAGAAAAGCAAGAAACAGAGATAGAGAGGTTAGGATCGACGAGGGGGAAACGAGAAGATTGTGTCGTGTGGGTGATCGTGGCTCCTGTGGGAGTACGTCGACGAAGAAAAAAGTGTTCGGTGAAAGAGGGACGGGACAAAGAAGAAGGGAGAGGAAGAGGCAGAAAGCAAGAAAAGAGAGAAGGCGTGCTGCTGACTGGTTGACTGGTGGCCCGTTGGTTGGATAGTACGCGCCTGGGCTGCGCTCGCACGATCTACACCGGCATGGCCGCCGAGGCCAGCTGAACTTTTTCTTCTCTCTCTCCTCTCTCTATCGTTCTCTCTCTCTCGCACGACGATCGTTGCTCCCACCCTCTTTATCCGTCTCTCTTCCTCCCTCCTTTCTTTCCCGTCTCTTTTCTCGCTCTCGCACTCCCGTCTTCTTTCACGCTCCCTCCCCCCCTGGCCGGCTGTCTCGTCGTTTCGTCTCTTTTTTTCTTGCTTCCAGCCGGCTCGTTCCAACTCTCTTTCCGTTTAACGCGAGAGAGGAGACCGTGCGCGCCACGAATACCCAGATCCCTCGGCGTACGTGTGCCGAGTGTGTACGTGCCGCGTGTAGAAGTGTGTGTAATACGTACGTACGAGCCGCGCGAGCGCAGTTCGCCAGCCATCGCGGGGAAATCGAGCGGAGGCTTGCCATTCGAGAAAACCAGTGAACTCGAGCGAACGCTCCTCGCGTAGCCGTGAACACGCGCGACTGGATCTGTCGCGGGAGTGCCATCCGATTCCATTGAAAACTAACGTCTCGTCATCCGACCGCTCGTCGTCGGTGATCAGTTTCTACGATCGACGAGCGACAAAACGATATCATCGTGGAACTGTTCGACAAAGGGATCGCCGTACGATAGGAAAAATCGAACAGTATCTCTCGACGGGAAACTTGGCAGTTGTTGTGTGTTTGTGTCACAGAATAACACAGCAGGACAGGGTGACGTCGTTGACGATCACGCACCTGTCGTCACAGTGGCGCGCGGGGTGCCGTTGTTTAGTGGCAGAGCGTGGTGACAGTGTGTCTCGTGAAAAATAACGGAGGGGTGGTTGTAAAGAGAGGCGGTGGCATATCCGGTTATTCTGGTGCGTTCGCCGCGTCGGAAGAGGAGGAACGGGAACAGGAACCAGGAACAAGAGGAGAACGCCGTACACACGTTCGCGGGGAGGAGAGAGAAGGATGCACGAGAAGGAGAACGCCGGTGAGGGCCTCCTACTCGTTGCTTTTCCACGGAGGGCAGTGCTGTTGTCGGAGGTGCGAGCCGCGTGACACGAATGCGAGAGTGCGAGAGAAAGGGGAGTCAGGAACGAGGAGGTGGCGGTCAGAGAGAGAGGGAGAGAGAGAAAGAGGAGGAAGAAGGAGATCCGTGTACCGGTGAGCAGCGACGACGACGACGACGACGGCGACGGCAGCGACAGGAGCGAGGGCATATATCCGGCCGTGGGATGTGCGCGCGACAAGGACAGAGTGAGAAGTGGCTATTTCTGTGGAGCATATAGGGGGCCGCCCGTATAAAATAAGCAGTGAATGAAGGAGCCTGTTTACTGGCAGACGGCCTACGCGAGATTCAGTCGGTCCTCTTTCTCTCTCTCACGCGCGTGCTCGCTCTCTCTCTCCCTCTCTCTCTCCCCGTCTCGCGCGGCCCAAGCCTCGTTCCTTCTCTCCGTCGGTGTCTACGTGTTTCTCGCTCTGGCTCGAGTACGCATCCCGTAGCGGATAGGAGAGAGAGAAAGGAAAAAGAGAGAGCAAGGGAGACCGTAGGAGCGCAGCAGCAGCAGCAAGCAGCAGCGGCAGCGGCAGCATCGTTGCCACGAGACGAGAGGGAGCCGTGTGTGTGGCCAGTGCGCGAGAAGAAGCCGCGGTGTGTGTTCACCGATCTTGTCCTTCTGTCTCGTCTCGTCCCGTTTCTTCGCGGCTTGCCTAGCCTCGCGTCTCGTCTCGTATCGTGCCTTGGTGTTTTTCTCCAACTCTCTCGGGCTCGTACGGAGAGTCGAGCGACAACCGTGTGCTGCTGGGTGCCGCCTTTCGTTCCATCGACTACGGAAACCAATCGGCCGCGAATCCGTGCACCATTCGCTCGCCACCCAGGATCCTTAGCCTCGCGAGTTTCTTGTTACGTTCTTTACACGTTACGTTCACGCGTCAACATCCATTACATTTCTAGCTACGTACGCGTGGTAAACCGTGACTCGAGCAGATGTGTTTACGTGTTTGTTGTGACGTTTTGTGACCAGTGGCAAAGAAGCAGTGACGAAAAAAAAAGAAAAGAAACAGGGAGGAAAAGAGCCTGTATATTTTTGCGGGAAAACAGAGAAAGGAATCCGGGTGCCTTTTCTTTCTCTCTTTGAGTTTTCTTCTCCCGAGGTCAGTGAAAAAAAAGCAAAATTAGTGGGGAAACTACGACCGAAGGGTGTATAGTACCTAATCGAGGTTCCCTTCGCGTATCGTGGTCCGATGAGTTTGTGCACGACGTGCCGCGTACGCGAACACTGGAGCTAGGCCTAAAGAAGAGGGAAGTTCGAGAGAGATATATTGAGAGGAGGCTCGCGGTGCAGGGTACAGGTGAAACGGAAGTGCCGAAAGTGTGGATACCTTGGACTACGAGCCGCCCCCGGTGCTGCCACCGCGGCGCCCGCCCTGGCCGTCCAACAGCCCGAGCAGCAGCACCGCCTCGAGGTACAGCGGCCAGCAGCGCGCCGTCACCGCCGCCACCACGTCCTCGCTGACAGCGACGGCGGCTACGACGACTACCACGTCGACGACGCTTAGACCGGCGTTCCGAGGCTCAACGACCTCCTCGTCTGCGCGAGTGTCGCCGCAGCCGCCACCCTTGACGCCGCCCCAGTATCCTGCGCCCCCACGGCCCCCTAGTCGAAACGGTGAGTCCACATTTCTTATTCATTCATTCACTCGTTCATTCATTCCTGTTATTTCATACAAGTTCGTACTAGACGAGAGAAATAGTTATATTTATTTCGAGTACACCTTCGAATTTTTTAAATCGACCATTTCTACATCGGTGACTGCTAGGGATTTCTGGAGTTAGGGATTTTTTCCGTAATGCGTGTACTTAAGTGTCTATTATATAAATCGACGGTGACTTTTCAGTAGACGTATTTGTGCTCTAGAGCACTCGAGGGGATATCGATTCTTTTGGGGAATATTACGAATTATTTCAAATAGTCGTAATAGTGTCTACTATTCGTCGTCTGACGCGGGTGTAGGAAGAATATGTACACTAGAAATCTATTCACCAAAAGGAAATGCTTCCGGATTTATTTATCACACGGTCGAGTTCCCTCGGAACCACTGCCAAATGGCACTCTGCTTGCACGAACTATAGCGATTCTTCGCCTATATGTATATTCGTAATATATCGAGAATCCGATCCCATTCATGATACTCGAGTCGTTGGGCCCGATGATCACCCAGCCGAGAGAATTTCGAGTGAACGGGCGAACGGGCTTCCGAGTGAATAGAAAACCGACGGGAACTGGAGGGGATAGACTCGAGCCCAAGAAAGCCAACCGTTTCCTCTACCGGTCTTCCAGTTTCTCGTGAATCGATGTTTGACTCTCGTTTCCGGTTTCTCCCCCATTGTCCCGACTGGAATCTAATACGCGTCGCAGGACCAATCGAGGGCAAGCAGCACAAAAGGCTTTACGGTTTCGAGGGTTACGGTGCGCGAGCAGCAGCAGGAGGTGGAGCCAGGCCGGGGTCTTGTGTTACGAGCTCGTTTCGCAAATGCTTGTTGAACGCGTTCGCGAGTCATCGACGGTCTCGAACTCGTTCTTCCACGGAGCATCCTGGAACGTCGTGTAACAGACGAAGTTTCTCGCGGTCAGGCTTCTATGGGTGGCCAGAGATGGGCAAATTATCTAGATTTCGAATAAAACATAAATAACTACTTTGTCATTTTGAATCGTTTTCAACGTGAAAATTCCAATTTTCTTATAATAAAATAACACTTCTTCTTGAATGAATCAACATGTGGCAAACAATTATTGAATCTAATTAATTGTTTAAAGCCCAGAATGATGCTCCTAGATACTGATACTTTTCACTATCTATTATTCGAATAAAATTGTGCCTAACTCTGTGGGCAACGACTCGATCGAGAGGCGAGCGTGACTCGCCGTGCGCGCGCGCACGCTTGAATTGAGTCACACTCTACGCTTTCATAGAGGCCGAGCCACACGAGCAGTGGCGGGCCGAAGTAGTGAATGAAATTTACTGGTGTAGAAAGTTCGCGAGAAAGTCGCCAGTCGCCACCTTTCCGTCCCGTAACACACACAGAGAAGCAGGCACACACATAGAGAGCGTAGCCGCGCGTTTCTTCCTCCGACCGATCCTCTCGACGCTTTCCTCTCTCGGCGATGGGAATGGTGACCTCGTAGGCGGCTCGTCTATATAGTTTCGCGGAAAGTATTCGCTTATTGTAACTGCTTATGAATGCACTGGGTGTGAATGGTATTCGAGGGGAGTAAACGGCGTTGAGACTCTCGACGATCGCGTTACGCTCGGGGAATATACGTGTGGGTACGTTTGATTTAATGCTACCGCTGCAATGAATATTACGGCGAAGCGTTGTTATAAGCGTTATTCGATGGTTTAACTTATAGTACCTTATTAGTTTTCCGGGATGGTCCAAAAATACCTTGAAAAATATGCGATTTTTGAGGTATCTATTAAAATTAACACACCTATTTCTCTTAGAAATGAAGGTATTTTCAGGTTTTTTATTTTATTATTCCTATTCAGTAAACGTGTGTTCTACTATATAAACTTGTCTTATAAAAGTAAAGTGTCATTGCATGTGTTTAAATTATATTAAAAATGGGTAGCCGATATGTCGGCTCTAAGGTACTAAAGGATACAATTCTCGTGATACTCTGGGTGAGATTGTTCACGAATTTCTGGATAATTAGGAGAAGGAATGGTTCAAATTTTTCGACGTTTCGTTTTTGGTCTGCGTTACTAGAGAGATATTCGAATTTTTAGCCTGTAGTCACGAAAAGACATACATGTAACAAGGAAAAGTGTTCTGTTGACAGTGAGAATTTTCAAAGTTTGTAATCCATTAACAGAAACAAGGAACATGCTGTAAACAGAAGGCAACGCGAAAATAGATACTGAAATACTTGAGATAACGATGCCTCATAATCGCTCGTGGAGAACCAGCTGTTTTCAAGAACAGAAACAGAAAGTGCGAAACGTTTCTTTCGCAATTGTCCCGTGACTAATTTCTAATCTGCAGTCCGACGAGACGTCCCAATTATGAAATCGTGTAATATCGTATCCCAAACTTAAGATTCTATGCACCTATAGATGTGCCATAATCGTCCGCAATTCCATATTTCGAACCTAATAAAAGAATTCCTAGTAGAGAAATTAGATAAATTTCCATTTGATCTAATTCCAAATAAATTCTCTGTAACTCGATCTTTTCTTCAATAATTCATCGATATTTCATCGGAGTTTCACGAATATGACAATCTGCACCTCATCAGTACAGTTCGAAATTTCTAATTGGTCCAAATGAAAATCGAGTGGGTAAAACAGAAAATTTTCCAAAAATGGATAATAGATCCCAGGGCGTAGGCGCGCCGAGTGTGTATCGCTCGAAAATTTCCATACGGACGGCGATCGAATCGGTCCCATCGCTAGTTTCCTCTCTCTTCGAGCGGAATACGAGTAGCGTGTCGTACGAGCGCATGCGCACGCGGTCGCACACACTCTCGAAACGCGCTCTCTCACCACCACAGACGCGTCCATTCGCTTCGGGAACGGGCAAATAGGATGAATGCCATTCGGTTTGACGTACCCTACCTGGTGACTTCGACGCGCATGCGCTCGCGTGTTGCGTGTGGCGTGCCTCTCTGTGTGTCACGTAAGAAGTCCCCCCCTCCCCTTTCCACCCTGTCTCTTTTTCTCTTTCTCTTTCGGTCTCGCGTACGGAACCACATGCCTGCCGATTTACCGACACCGTTCTCGAGGAATCGGTGACTCGCGCGTGCGCGCGCGACCTCGTTGAATGATCGAGCTTTCCACGAAATTCGATGAGCGAGCCCGAGGCATGCCCGGTTGACGGCCTACCCTGGAAACGATGAATCGAGAGCCGAGATTATCCATCCACACGGTATCTGGAGAAACTCGGCCTGTTCCCTGGAACAGCTTACTCAGAACCCCGTGAAATGAGATCTGACGCGTAACTTTGATATCCGATCGTTGATTAGATAGCCACACAACGATTTATGTATCTCTGTGGCGCAGGTGGAGTAATTTTAATCGGGAGACGCGTATATACTCGCAAATCGGAGGTGGGGATACTTTGGGACCGATGGAGGTTCGAACTTGGTTGGGATTATATTGTCCCCGACGTTTGACACTTTAATTCGTTGTAAAGCCACTAGATCGGTACGTTTCTTCGAATATTGGTTCGCTGGTGTATAGTTCATTAGTCTTTCATAGGTTAGAACTTGTTCTGGGTCGAGGCTATACTATCCCCGATGTTTGACACTTTAATTCGTCGTACTATAACAAATACCACTTTTAGACCACACTGTATCGTGTTCACCGACTACACTCGGTTCTATAATCGTCGAAACTCCTAACCGGCTGATAGAATCGAGTAAGCAGAAGTCTGACGAAATACCTTGACTAAGGCCTACGATGACAGAATTTCGGAGCAAGTTGTACAAACCGATTCTCACGTTCTGGTGATCGCTGGGTATGGGTATCGACACGGTCGCGCGCATCGTGACACAGATACACGCAAGCGAGCGAGTGTGTGTCTGTCGGTCCGGCATGAATGAAGCCACAATTTCCACGCATGGCGCATAGGTAGCTGAGTCGACTGGCGCTATTGCCTCGATTCACCGATCGGGAAGATTGACGAGTGCCCCTGCCCCTCTTTCGCTTTTTTTTCGATCCTCGTGTATTTACGTTTGGGTCGTTCCACGCCAAGCAAATCTACTTTTGAACACGATATCTGGGATTTTGATCGGATTAAAATATGTTATAATCCATGCGAAAACAGGAAGTTGAGAATGATGACCCCTCAGCTCTGTTTTCACATGGATTATAACATATTTCAATTTGTGTGAACTCCCAGACCTCGTGTACAAAAGTGATTCACTTGACGTGGAATAATCCGCCTATCAAGATAGCAAAGCCTGAAATATCTTGGAACGGATCGTGATAAACGCGATTCAGAAACTTATACCTTGAATGAATGGACGAACGATACCGCGATCAAGATTAGGGAAATGGAAAGTGGCGTTTGAATTTAACATTAGAAAACGTGTTCTTCTGTCACGTTGGTAAAACGGATAGCTTGTTAAAAATATGGAAATCGATAAATTTACAAAAAGTTCTTCACTTATATATTGCAATAAAAGATACGAAGAATCTTAGAAAATACACTGTTCTGACATTTTAGTCTGTTTTATGAGAGTATACGAACCATACATTTTGTTTGCTTTGGTAGTGCTAGTGTTAATCGTGGCTCGGCCTTAAAGATAATCACCGGTCGTTTGCTGAAGTATCGACGCGAGGGAGGTATTTTTTTATAGTTGACGCAATCATGATTCCGCTATCTTCTGAATGGAGCCTTGAAATCAGCGATACCGAAAGCTATTCGGTTCGATTCCATTTACGGTTGATCGAGAATCGATAAGTTTCCCATTCAACCGGTCTGGTTGTGCGGTACTCAATGAACGCTGGCACTCAGCACTGTTATCGCCTGCTCTATTTTCGAACGCTCGAGTCTGCGGTTTTCAGAACAGTCGAATCGTCAATGGTTTTGACTTTGACGGTGATGCAGGCACAGTGACATGGGTCAATTTCGATCCTTATGCATCCACTTCTCCAAAATGCA